TTAAGTATGCCGATAAAGAAAAAAATAATCCTCTGAATTAGACCTCTTTCAGAGTACAACTCTTCTTCTAGTGCCACTCCTGCTGTTTAATGGTATTGTCTTCTTAATGAGAAGGTCTGTTGTTCAGATGGAAAACTGCAGGATCACTAATAGCAACAAACTCTGAAAGCGTTCTTAAATTTTCGTTCTAGAAAAAGATACATTTTGGTTAAGGTGTTATGAAAGAGTTTTGACAATCACTGATTAGGAGCGGCCATTTCTTTCTCTTATGTAGTAAATATTAATGTGAGTTACAAATACACATTAAATGATTATGTAGTGAATCTCAATATATTGGATCAAACTCATTTCAACTGCGCTACATTGTATTTAAGATGAGCTATATTAACAAAACTCCATCCACCCCCCCCCACCCCCCACCCCCACACACACACACACATATACATAGAGCCACATTTATACACACAGCTGGGGGCAGGAAGGCTAATTGAGTGGTGCCTTGGCCGTTAATGTGGGCCTAGCGGTCGAATACGTGATCACAAATACTTAAAGTTCACACACACACACACACACACACACACACACACACACACACACACACACACACACACACACACACACACACACGCACACACGCACGCACGCACGCGCGCGCACGCGCACGCGCACGCACACACACACACACACACACACACGCACGCGCACGCGCACGCGCACGCGCACGCACACGCACACGCACACACACACACACACACACACACACACACACACACACACACACACACAAGCTGAACATGTTGGCATGCCTGTGTAACAGTTTTAAACATGCAGATGTAGGATGTCTATAAATAGTGTCCTCTTCCTTTCAGTCTCTTTACTGTTCGCCGTCCCCTCCCCCTCTCGCCATATGTGTTCCCAAATGAAAAGAGCAAATGGAGAGAAGGTGAGGAAGAGGAGGAAAGGGTAACACGACGTATTGCTTTCTGCTGCTTTAAAATTCAGATTTTCTTCACAAGAACAACAACCTTAGGTATTGTTACCTCACATTTTCCATCCCCCAGCAACTTCCCTTATGTCCTCAAGTGTCAGTCACACGTTCATTCACCTTCGTCCTTAAGGAGATAGGTGCACTGATTTAAAATTAAATCTGTTTGAGGGAAAATGTGTCACAAATGCATGACATTGTGTGCAGTTATCTGTACATGAATATAAACGCACCAAACCCACTCAGTGTCCAGGCGCTGTGTCACTCTGCCACTTCAGTAAAGCCTATGTCTACGTGTTTGTTTTGTTCGTCCGCGTGGGAGACTTGTTACCAGAAAATACACTTAGCAGAACATATTTAACTGAGTCATAACGATGGCTTGTGGGTGTATGTGCGCCTCTTTGTGTGTGTAAACAGGCAGCAGTGGCAAAGAGAGGCGAGACGCCGGTCCATTTGAGCTACAGGCTTGCTGTCTGTTTGACTCACTTACAGTCAGTGCGTTCAGATCGCACCTTTTTTTTTCACTTAAGACCCTTGACATGTTCAAGTCCAAATCTTTTGAGGTGGGTTTCAATGGAAAGGTTATGAAATAATAACATCTTACCTGTTCTAGATAGAGATTTGAAATGCTTCAATTTGAGGGAAACAGATTATCTTCGACTGGATTGACAAGCAACCAGCTGACAGAAAACACAGTTAGCAGATAGTTGTAGCACTTCCTGTGCAGCCCGGTGCATTTGCAACAACAATATTACAATATTTCTGTATCAAAATCAGAATGTAATGTAAAGTTGATCGATTTAAAAATGCAGGGGATAGCATTAGCATGCATTAGCAACCTGCTACAGCAATATAAAACAAAGTCACAATCTGCAAAACGAGCTAACTTAAAACGTGTTTTATACCTCTTAACGTTCTAATATGGTATGGCTATAAATAGTTTGTGGAGTCTAAAAAGCTCAGCCAATAATACCAGGGACGTCACTAGGATTGAGAGATGGGGGGCTTAGCCCCAGGAGCTTGATGCTGAACATTTTTTATCACACCCTGCAAAGACTTTTAACATTGAACAGAACCTGTTGTATCATTTTCTTTTCCGTCCCTGCCTTCTTGCATTTTCTCTCTTCTTTTTATCAAAAATAACCCTAAATCGGTTCATTAGCGGAGGGGTTATGTTGAAGAAAAATGTTATACATATATATATATATATATATATATATATATATATATATATATATGCATATATCTGTTAAAAATAGATATATTTCCAAACAAAGCTTTGTTTCAGTCTACTGCACTTAACAGGGGGAAATGGTGTGGCCATCTATTTAATTAGTTTAATTACAGCTAGCTTGGTTCAAAATCCCACTGTAATCTGACAAAAAACAAATTAATATGTGTCAAACCTTTATTCTGCCAGATGAGTTGAGACAGTTTTAATATATAAGTAACATTTGTATTATATGGAACAAAGGAAGTGTCCTTGAAATTAACAATTAAAAGACAAAATAACAGTAAATAAAAACTATTCAACAAGTAGTCCTCTTGATAGATGAAAAAAGTTCACTTAGTCACTTTTTAAATATTTTTATTTTATTGAATCCTTTGATCTTTTTCTTATGCTTGTACAAGTTAAGCTTAACTAGCAAATACAGATAAAATGTGTGTGTGTGGGGGTATTTTGCCCTAGCCCTAAAATGCCTTGGTATGGCTCTGGTCGTGGGGCTGAGTTTTGAAGGTGATCTCAATTGTACCAAATGTATAAATAGTACATGCCTATAAATGATTGCTTTTTAAAGGTAAAACATGTAGTGGGATAAATCTATCTACATTTTCCTTTCAAGCTCTTTGTTTTGTTTTCTTGATTTTCATTTTTCCTGTCCTGTCTGTCTCTCATCTTCCTGCATCTCCCCTCAGTTCTACAGAAAAACGGTTTCCTGGCTTTTTACCTTTTCACCCCATGAGTTACTTTTGAACTAAGCACATCAAAGGCATCTACCGATCGCAAAACAGCGGAGTGTGCATGGCAGTGAGGTGAAGTCATCTGACCACGGGTGTTGAGTTCAGCTTCAGCGGGGTGGGTCAGGCATGAATAAAAGACAGAAAGTACCAGAAAAAGTTTGGGCGGAAATGAATGATCGTGTGTTAATTATGTATACACACACACACACACACACACACACACACACACACACACACACACACACACACACACACACACACACACACATATATATATATATATATATATATATAATTTTTTTTTGGGGGGGGCGCCACTTTAAGAATGTTACTATGGACATCCGCAGAGCACAGCTGCCTGGTGCGCATCAACGATCAGCACTCTGCGTCCCCTCCTTCAAAAGGAATCCCAGGTATGCTGACTAAAAATATGGCACAAATTTTTAAAACAAAAAAATATGTACTGAAAAAATATTCCACCCAAAATAACAGGGGAGCTTAGGAATATTTTAGGGTAGCTGAAGCTGAAGCCCCCAAATGACACGGTTCAGTCCAAAACCAACAGTTGGACCATCCGGTTGTCAGTTTGATCGAACCACCGCTTTTTCGCATTTACCTGGGTCCTCCATTCATTACACGCTTGCACATTTAGCAAGAGAACACCACTGGTGTGAGAAGTTCTCCACTCAGTAATATCAGAGAAGGAGAAACAGCTGGCTGTTGCCACTTAGGACAAGCTACCCGAGTCTCGAAAAGAAAATCACCATTTGAAGTCATGGACAACAAAAGACGTTTGGATTTAGAAAAGGCAACTGTTGTTTAGCGCCCTCTCATTTATGGCAATGTGGGTTCTGGTATCAGACAGATGTGGCCTAGGGATGAAAGTCAGCGGGATGGGCAAGAGTCCGTGGCTGTGTTTGTGTTTAGAAGACTAGCTTGTTTTGCATATTTTCTATTACAGCTCTAAAATTAGAGCTGTTTTTGGAGCTTTGCTTAGCTATGGTCTTTACTTTACTTTAACTTATTTTTAAATATGATCGGTCACTCTGACTTTAACATGCAAGCTAAACTTGAAATAGTCTTCTTCCCCTATTTCCTGAATAAGCCGCCAATAGAAAATAAACAGGGAAGCGCTCGTGTCAGAAAAAGCTAGTCAGATCTATGTCGCACAGTAAATAAGCATTCCTAGCCTGACTCATCGACTGATGTTGATTTTTGCTGGCTGGAGAGAGTAGAGCATGTCTCAGCTAATAGAAGCTAATCAGTTAGTTAACATGACAGAACTCATTCAGGCTTGTGTCTTTTAGGGAGATAAAACATCAAAGTACCAAAGTGAATGGAGGCAGTGGAAGAGTTGCGTTGCTGTTAGCCAATCAGAGGCGAGATGTCCAGATCTTATGACAACTAATGACTCAGAACCCTGCCTTTTTCTGCCCCCCTCTCCTCCAACTAATCTCTACTTTCTGAAACGGGAGCACCAGAGAAATCGACTGACAAGACATTCATTTACACAAGACCACAACAAATGTGTTGAAATAATGAGTGAATGAGCGATTTAACTAATCAACTAAACCGTTTTTCCGAATCTACTTCAAAAGATCTGAATTTTTCAGATGTAACTACTTCTTGCATCCATCTTGCACATAAACTTTGAAATGTAACGGTGCACTGATTTCCAAATGATGATGAAGCTTTTGTAAACTGATAAACATTCTGTGAAGGAACCCCTTTTATCTTGTTTTTAATGTCAACTTTTTGTTTATTTAGATGCATGGTACTCATTTACCTTGACATTTTTGGCTGCTGTTTTCTTGTTGGTTTAATAGAAGAATTTATTCTTCTTGCATATTTCTGCAGATAAATTGGCTGCATTTTTTGATATTTGTAAAACCAACTAATGTTCTTATTTGTTATGCTCTGACTTTTTCTTTGTTGCCATTTCTAAACCAAACGAAGATCTACATTTTTATTTCTGCACTGGTCTCGTGTACACAACAGCAGAATTTCAGCAGTTGATGCTAAGATGCTATTTTCCTTAACGGATCCTCCTCACTCCGTTTGAGTGGATGATTCTAGCCACCATCATTGCCAACTGTATCGTCCTGGCTCTGGAGCAGCATTTGCCTGAAGGAGACAAGACGCCGCTGTCCGAACGGCTGGTGAGTCAAACTGAGCGTAAAACACCAGGCATTCTGTAGATTAACAGGATCAAATATCATGTGTGTGCTTCCTCCCAAACTAGACATGTATTCATTACAATACATTTAAATCCCCTTTCCTTTCTCCCTTTTCTTTCCTTGATCTTCATCTCACTCCACAGGATGATACAGAGCCATACTTCATTGGGATCTTCTGCTTTGAGTCTGGAATTAAGATCCTGGCTCTTGGTTTCGCCTTCCACAAGAACTCTTACCTGAGAAACGGGTGGAACGTTATGGACTTTGTGGTGGTGCTTACAGGGTAGGTGGCAAGTATGGAGTGCCTGTGGTAAAGTAATACATTAATCATTAACAGGTCACTTTAACACATAGAACTTCAAATATTCATATATGATTTGTAAATCAGCTGAAATTTTTGATTTTGAATCTGACATTCATATTCAATTTTACATTTATGTTAACATTTAAACACAACTTTACATATTTAGATGTTTATTGTTTAATATTGTTAAGCTTCATGGTTAAACATTTTGACATGAAATTACAATGTAAAAAATAAAAATTTGGTTTAAAAGGGGACTTTAAAAATCCACATGCTGTTAATTTCCTTATGGATTACTTTACAATCAGCGCCCCATAGAACAGCCCAAACTCATGGATTACAATGAAAGACGTGTGTGTGTGTGTGTGTGTGTGTGTGTGTGTGTGTGTGTGTGTGCGTGCGTGCGTGCGTGCGTGTGTGTGTGTGTGTGTGTGTGTGTGTGTCCTTTCATTGCTGTTCTAAAGAATGGACCCCATTCTGAGTTAGGCACCAGTCAGATCACAGAGTTGAGCTGCAGGCAGCCAGCCGCCTGGGTGGTGAACAAATGTCACCTCGGGAGATAGCGAGACGTTAGAGGATGGGAGGCACAGATGAAGCAGTGTGGAGTCGATGAGGGAGGGGATCTAGGAGAAACCACATATGTTCCCATCTAAGTAAAGAGTGAGGAGCAACAGTGAGGAAAGGAAAATGGACAGGGGTGAACAAGAAATGGGAAATGTTAACATAAAACTGAGGTAATGTATGATTCAACATATTAAGGCAAGTGGTTTTAAATAAAAAAAAAACAAGGATGAATTAAAAAAAGAGGACGAAAGGTGAACATTGCTTTGTGTGAAGTCACTGCAATTATTAGTAGAAATATTTGGTGCAACCTAAACTTCTGACGTCTAGATGTTCATAGAGAATTGTGTTCAAACTTGAAGGAGTTTAAATTTTCTCTGTATCGTGTGAGAGTTCTCAATTTCCCCAGGCAGACTTGCTCTTGTATCGTTTTGCTAATTTGCTAATTTCTCCTAAGTTTCTCCTTCATTCTGCACACAGTTTGTGGTGAAATAACAGTTCCATTTTTGGTGATTCCATGGACACAAGATGCAGATGTGACAAATGGAGATAGATGTAATTTATAAAATTAACTTTAGAGTAGACCTGCTGCTCCTTCACATCGAGAGGAGCCAGTTGAGGTGGCTCGATCATCTGGTTGGGATGCCTCCTGATGAGGTTTTCCAGGCACATCCAACCGGGAGGAGCCCTAAAGGATGACCCAGGACACGCTGGAGGGACTATGTCTCTCGGCTGGCCAGGGAACACCTTCTGAAGGAGTTGGCCTAAGTCGCTGGAAAGAGGGAAGTTTGAGCCTTCCTGCTTAGGCGGCTGCCCACATGACTGGACCTGGTTTACAAAGCCTAAAAGTAGGTTTAACTACATTAAGAATGAATAAAACAAAGATTTTGTCTATTTAAATCATAAATTTGCTATTTACAGCAGTAAAATTTAGCTGTGCATTAGCACTGGGCTATTCAATTCTTTGCCTTGAGGGCCGGTATCCAGCACGTTTTAATGGTTTCTCTGGTCCAACACACTTAATTCTTAATAAGCGCCTCGTGATTTTTATCTTGAGAGGCGCTATAGAAAAGATCTTTTCTTCTTCTTCGTCTAATTCAGTGGTGCAGCAGCTCATCAGGCTCTTCAGAAGCCTGCTGATCACCTGCTGATTGAAATCAGGGCTAAACCAAAACGTGCTGGATTAGCATTAGCGTGTCCCTTGTAATGACTGTGTAGGAGCTCTTGCACGATCTATTAAGTTGTGGTGATACGATAAATTAGTACGCGTGCAGTGATTTAGGGTGCTTCATGTGTTACAAGAACTTTACGTGTGTTTTTATTTATTTATTTATTTTTTGCTGCGCAAATATCAGTATAAGAAGTGATTGCTTCTTTCCACTTGCTCACTAACACACACATAAACACACACACTGAGTGACAGTCTGACTGTTCTTGGGCTTTATTAAGAGCAATCATGACACCCAGCTCCTCTCAGTGTGCCACAACAGAGTGATGGTAAAAGAGGTGCCAAGACCAAAGTCAGAAGAGAGGATAGGAGGAGGGGCTGAAGAAAACAAGAAGTCCTTAAAGCCGTAACTGTTATAATACTAAAACTTTATTACAGATTTATTAAGGTTCCTTCATCTTGTTTTGTGGTTTTGCGGTAACATTAGAGCTGCATATGATGTGTTTTTAAATGAAAGCAATGAAAATCAAATGTGGTTTTGGAACTGACAGCTATTTTCTTCTGAAGTGTGTTCATGTAAACAAGTTATGATAAACATGATAAATGGCTTGCGGAGTCTTGGTTTGGGTTGATAAGCTAACAGCTAGTCACAGTGAAGTGAAGCCAAGACCAATACCCATGTCCACCATTTTTATAGGACAGATGGATTAAGAGGGCTGCATTCCATTTAGAACAGTTCTACTTTTGAACAGGCTCGAAGAAGTGGAATGCAGCCCTCACTGGCACCCTTGTACCTCCCTTAGGCTACTATGAAACAGACCTACTCTGATACAACCAAAACCTCCTATTCTGATTAGAAACATTTAAAAGAATACTTATAAAAACAGATGTTGGGTTAAAGTTTCTTTATGGTAACATGAGACTAACAATAGCTCAAGAATTTTCTTGCAGTTGTATTTGCAGAATCGGCCATACGGTTCCAATTATACACTGAAAACAATGTAAGGTTACATTTTTCTCCTAAATCATAATTTAAAGAGCAAGTCGCCTCCTACCAGAATATTTCTCCACTCCCACTTACGGTTTGAAAAATGCTACAAATTCCTTTGTCTGGCAAACCTAGAGGGCGGAGCTGCAAACAAATACACACACACAGGCTCACAACATTGTGACATCATAGTGTACCAGCTAACATCATAGTGTACCTCTTCTCCAATAGCGGTGGCAGATTTAATTCAGATGCAGTGCAGAGTTTTTACCTGAAGATGGCACAGCACGGACAGTTTTAGGCAGAATATTTAAATTTTAACTAAGATGCACTAAGTGTCAAATTATTGATTACACATGTCTTGATTAGACACTCATTTATATAGATTATCAGCAAAAAGAGTTGATTTGGGAGTGAATTGCTTTAAAGAGCAAGTCACCCCCAAATAAACTTTTTTTTGCTGATAAACTAAATAAACAAGTGTCTAATCGTGCTGCAGACACGTGTCGTCAATAATTTGGCACTTCAGTGCATCTTAGTTAAAATTTTAATATTCTGCCTAAAACTGGCAGTTGTGCAGGTAAAAACTGCACTGTATTCTAATTTAAATCTGCCACCGCTATTGGCTAAGAGGTATGCTATAATGTCATCTGGTACATTATGATGTCACAATGCTGTCCTGAGCCTGTGTGTATTTGTTAGCAGCTCCGCCCTCTCGGTCTGCCAGGCAACAGCATTTGTTGCATTTTTCAAACATGAAGTGGGAGGAGTTAGAAAATGGTAGGGGTTGACTTGCTCTTTAAATATTCATCTGCAATAAACCACGTTATATTTGTAATTTCTGACCTCTTCCTCTCACAGCAAGTTGCCCCCTCTTTTCTCTGTCTACCCTTGAGCTTTTCTCCTCGAACATTAGCTAAAATAAAGTCTGGCCTTCACTGTAAAACGCAGATTTTTTAGATTACATCCACGTATGACCAGTTTGTTTTGATCATTCTATCTGGATGTTGTGTCCAGTTGTGTTCCCATCATGCTTTACCACCTATGACAAGGTCTTTCTATCAAAAGCAGATTTTGTCAGACTCTGAAGTAGATCATGGAGCATAATATGAGGTATGGAAATTTTAATTAATCATTCAATATAATTTGGTCATAAAATACAACCCTCTAAATCCTAATCTTGTGGCAACTGAATCCACTATAATAAAACGTTCAAATTTAATTTCAGATTGGCCTAGCCATTAGCTTGTCAATCCAGTCAGAACAAAACTTTATTTCTCCAAACTGAAGTTACTCACAGAGCTGCACAACAGGGTAACGCTACACTTCAAAAGGTCTGTCCTATACTCATAATAATACAGCATTATTATTTTTTGAGATTTTAAAAAGAAAACTGGAAAATAGCAGGGATTTTCATAAAAATAATGGCATAAGTTAATTTTTTTTTTATCAATTCAACACTTTCACTTTGTCATGTACACAACATATATTCCACAATAAGAGCTTCTGTAATTCTACCTGCTTTATTTTGAAAGAGGGGAAACGCTGCAGCTCCAACAGTTTACATACAGTAAGGAGAGCTTCCACTGTTCTGACTGAAGGGTGAACGCTCACACACATACTCGTTGTGATGCTTTCAGTGATTGGCTGTTGGGTTTTTGGTAGTTCACCGCTCTTTGAAGATGAAAAGCAACTTGGCCTTTCTTTCTACCTTTGGTGGAAACCTTTGATAACATATTGACTACTATGCACACATGGCTAAGTGCACACTCATGCACGTACGCACACGTGCACACATTTCCATTTCAAACATTCCTTTCCATTTTGTACTTACCGTTTTGGGCACTTTCAGCCACTCTTAACACATGCCAACACCAAACATGTCTGAAGAGAAAATGCTAGATCTGCTGTTTACGCTATGCAACCTTTTTGGATGTCAGCTTGCTTGTGTGCACTTGTGCTTGTTGACTTATCTGTGGTAGTAAATTGCCAGAGAGGTTTGGCACTGGGAATAAGCTAGTTGTTTCTAATTTCCAATATTGATCATTAGTCCAATTACCCATGGTTTATAGGTGTTCTTGCTTTGAATCATTCCTTCTGTTGTGCTTTGGTGCTCTTCTAATTAGACACAAAAGACACACACAGCCAAAGGAGAAAAGGCAAATTGAAGATTTTGGCTGTTGTTCGTTTAGCGTCCAGGAAACAGTTATGAGCGCCTCAGCTAGTGAACGTTAACTGTTAGCGTTAGCATTAGCAACTTCA